TCCAGGAAAAAGCAGTAGGGGAAGGAGAGAAAGGGGCAGTGCTAGGATGAGGAGACAGAGGGCGGCACAAAGGGCACAGAGGGGTTAGGGCTAGGGGGCCAAAACAAGGGGCCCCTAGTTAAGACACAAAAGACACCAGGCAAAGAAAGGAGACACAAGAAATGTGGTAGGAATTCAGGCAAGCAGCAAGGTCTGGGGACTGTAGGGCGAAGGGTCAGGGTGAGGGAGGGCTGGGTTGGCTTAGCAGCAGCTTGCAAGGCTAGAGGCAAGGGAGGGAAGGCAGGGGATTGCCCAGGGCAAGGTCATTGCTTGGCCCATGTCCACTGCCAGATGTCAAGGATGAGCTACAAAGGTCCCCCAGGCGAGGGGCAGGGCTGTTTCCCATAGGGAGCCTTCTGGGCCCAGAGGCCAGCCAATTCCACTCCTCTGCTCCTCTGAGTAGATCCTCAGAGAGAGACCAGGACCAAAGGTGGGCCACAGGAGGGCACTGAGAAGGACACCTTTGGTTACGGATTGGGGCGTATCAGTGGGGAGTCAACACCCATTGGAGGAGCCCAGGCTAGGGAGAAGCAGGGGGAGGGTCGGGTCTGAGCAATGCCAAATACCACAGTACAGGGGAACAGAGGGGAGGCACAGGAGAGGGGCCGAGCAAGGGGACTGAAATCAAGGGACAGGGTCCTGGAGAAGGGYGGCCGGAGGTTGCAGTAAGGAACCAGGCCCAAGTCAAGTGCCAGRACCCGGTCCTGGGTCCCATGAAAAGAGTCATGGCTGGGGAGGGAAGAAAGGGGAGTAAGGGGAGACAGTGGTGCAGGGAGAGGAGGGCTCAAGGCCCAGGTTCACTGCTGGTAACAGGATTGAGGAGAAGACTGCGGGCTGGGGCCAAAGACCACAGGCAAGGGACACAGCTACGTTTTTCCCAAAGGGACTCCACAGGGCCAGGCACAGAGTTACAGTCCCCTGCCCCTGGTGAGCATCTTGGGAAAGGGATCTGGAAAAGGGGCCCAGCAATGACAGGGACAACAGGAGGGCAGAAGAAGGGCACAGTGTGGGGGGCCAGAGAATAGGTGTTGGTGGGGTGTGGTTGGGACCCCCAAAAGATCCCAGGCTATGTAACTAGAGGAGGGCCCAGGCCAGGGAGAGCAGGGAAGGGCAGGGCCAGGTAGACACTAGGGTTCTGAGGAGTAAGGAAGTCAAGGGAGCAGGGAAGAGGCCCCAGTGAGGCCCGCAGTTCAAGCCCAGCGAAGCCTGGAGCATGAAGGGTCCCCAGAGGCTCATGAAGTCTCAAGGACCAAACGAGGGGAGGACAGGTGAGTGCAGGGCTGGGCAGGAAGCCTGTAGATCACAGTGCAGGGTAGCAAAGAGGAGCAGAAAGAGGCCCAAGCAAGGGTCCCGCATTCAA